TCACAAATATATTTCTAGCATCTAGAAAAATATCTGGCACTCAAGTGCTTAAACCTAAATATATTTCTTGAATGAGATGATTTTACACCATAAAGATGTCAAGTGTCACAAATAATCTAAAAACTTAATGGACTCCCGATTAAAATCAATCTCAACTGATATTTACCTTAACAAGTATTACATTTAAAAAAAAAAGGAAAATCTCCAATTGTTAAAATAGCAAGAGCATTAACATGCCCACATATGTCTTAAGTTGTCTTTAAGGGATATTCTCAAGCATTCTCAGCACCTGTAAGACATACATTAATGATGATCAAACAACTTAAGAAATGTCTCACAAATGCCTAAATCCAGTTTAGAAATCCCTAGGCCATCGGTCCTCAAATTCATTCCCCAGATCTCTTTAGGAAATCTAAACTATTTTAGAAGATCAAAACTATTTTCAAAATAATACTAAGAGGCCACTAGCCTTTTTCATTCTCATTTTCTCACAACTGTACAGCAGAGTTTTCCAGAAGCTAAATGATGTGTGATAATGCTGCAGATCAAATGCATAAGAAGATATGAGAATCTATCTTCCACTAAATCATAATAAAGATGTCTGCAAAAACGTTTAGCTCTTCTCACTATTTTTGAAAATGTATTTAATAATGTTATATAAAATAATGTAAGTTTATTTTTATTTTAAATATTTTAAGAACTTTTCAGTTTTAATTTGTAATACTTCTAACTGGTAGATATAACCCACATAAACAAAAGCCTTCTGTATTCCTTAGGAATTAGAGTGTAAAGGAGTCTAGGACCAGAGTTTGAGAAGTGCTACTCTAACCTAACCACTGACGCTCACACTTCCTCGGTAAAACAACGTTCTGCTCACCTTATAGATTAACTGCAAGACTGGAATAAACTTAGAAGGATAAATAAAGCACAACTAATGAGCAAGCAACATTAAAATTAGCTGAACGACCTCCCCAAACGGAATCTCAGCATGGAAGGCTAGAGAGGTTAGTTACTACCAACAAAAGTCTATAAGTCTGCTTTCTTTTTAATTTATAGCAAACTAGGACTACTTCTCCTATCAACTTAATAAAGCATCAGTACAGGAACAGTCTAGACTAAAAGAACTCTGATTATGCATCTTTTTTTGATGGAATTTATGCAGACAGGAATTTTATTAATTCAAATACATGCAAGTAAGAAATGCATTCCTTTATTAAATCTAGGCTATTTGTATTATATTTGTTTGATATATGGCTATTGAATCCTAGCCTTTGTCTCAACAAGTTTCCTGAGGCAACTGAAAAAGGTCTGGAGAACTTGCTGAACATACACCATATCAAAATCTCATTCTCAGAGTAACACAAACTGAGGCTGGGCATGGTGGCTCATGACTGTAATCGCAGCCCTTTGGGAGGCCAAGGTGGGAGGATCACTTGAGGTCAGGAGTTTGAAACTAGCCAGCCAACATGGTGAAACCCTGTCCGTACTAAAAATACAAAAATTAGGCGGGCATGTTGTTGGGCACTTATAATCCCAGCTACCTGGGAGGCTGAGGCAGAACTGCTTGAGCCCAGGAGGGGGAGGCTGCAGTAAATAGAGATCATGCCACTGTACTCCACCCTGGGTGACACAGTGAGGATCCACCTCAAAAAAAAAAAAAAATTTAACAAACTGGAAGAGAATTCTAGAACTTCGAATTTAAACAAAGTTCTAGAATTCTAAAAATACACAGACAAGAATAAATATCTCAATCGCTAACATATGCTATGCAAATAAAAGTAAATAAGTTAAAATCTAATTTTAAATGATACTGAGTGGGTAAGAAGTTAAAATAAGGATTAATTAAATATAAGAATTAAGGACAGTGAAGTATTTTATGTTCTTTCCAAAAACTGAAAAGTGGTTCCATGCCTTATCTTGATAACTAAATAAAAGCTGTGCATTTCTTACCCAGTTTGCACCTTGCCAGAAACATGCCTGGCACAGCCGAGGAAGGTGGGATGACAGTAAAATATTTAAAGTGTGGACCTTCACACAGGAGAATAAACCAATCTCTATCTCATTTTACACAAACAAAACTATTAATCCTAAAATTGGACTTTCTACCTCCAGATTTTCTTTCCAGTCTGTGTTTTTGTCCTGTTTACAAATATTCAAAATAACCTTGAAAAAAGGAAAGAAACAGTAAAATAAACAAAGGAAAAAGCTAACTCACACAGCATGGAACTTCCTATTCCCCATCTCCCAATCTCATGTGGAAGACCAAAATAAAAACCCAAGCAGTTCTGGTCAAAGGAGACTGCTAAAGCTCAGGATTTCTTAGATACAATCTGAAAGCTATTCATAAAAAGGAGTCCATGACGCATTTATACACACACACACACACACACACACACACTCACAAAATGTTTCAACTTCATATATTAGTATATGAGAAAGTGTTTTAAAATTATATTGCCACCACTTTCCCATCAGCATGAGCCAAAAAATAAAAACCACAGATTAGTTTGAGAGGAAAAACAAAAAAAACCCAGCAGCATGTCTTCTACAGTACCAAACCAATCATTTAACAACAGGGTCTAGTGTGCAATTTAAACTTTACACCATCCCTGAAAACCATTATAAAACAATGAGACACTCACTTTTCCCTAAAAATACACAGACAAGAATAAATATCTTGTCTCCCAATGGCTTTCTTCCATTGTGAAAGAGCCTGGAAAGTAAAAAGTGGAAGTAGGGTAATATATAACGCCTGTAATCCCAGCTACCAGGGAGGCTAAGGTGGGAGGATCACTGACCAGGCGTTCAAGGCCAGTCTGGGCAACATAGTGAGACTGCCCCTCCATCTCCAAAAAACAAAACAAAACAAAACAAAAACACATACATATGTAATTTTAAATCTAAAGAACACATTTGTGTAATCCTAAACCAAACAAACGAAAAATTTTTAAAAATGTAATAAGACAATCAGAAAAATTAGAAAACTGACTGTTAATGTTTAAGAATCACTGTTAACATTTCTTACAGATTTACTTGGTGGATTTACAGATGAAATGCTAGGGAGATTTGCTTTAAAATATCTAGTAGCTGGGGACCGGGCGCTGTGGCTCATGCCTGTTATCCCAACATTTTGGGAGGCCGAGACGGGCAGATGACCTGAGGTCGGGAGTTTGAGCCTGACCAACAGAGTAACCTCTCTACTAAAAATACAAAATTAACTGGACATGGTGGCGCATGCCTATAATCCAGCTACTTGGGAGGCGGAGGCAGGAGAATCACTTGAACCCGGGAGGCGAAGGTTGCAGTGAGCTGAGATTGCGCCTTTGCACTAGCCTGGGCAACAAGAGCGAAACTCCGTCTCAAAAAAAAAAAAAAAAAAAAATCTAGTAGGTGGGATGAAACGAAATAGGCCATGTGTTAACAATGGTTGAATCCAGGTAACTAATACATAAAGGTTTATTATACTCATTTATTTTCTAGATGCAGCTGAACATTTCTCTCAGCAAGGAAAAAAGTACTCTTTGCATCAAAAATTCCTGTCAAAAATACAGAAATTTGTGTTCCACTACATCACGCGTAGTCCTTTTTTCTCATTCGTCTGGTTTGATTAACAATAATTCTATTCTCCAAACCAATTAACTTCCTCCAATCGACCTAAAACTGAAATACAAGACTATCTTTGTTGTCTTTTAATTCTACTCGTAAGCTAGTCAAACGCTAGGTGAGAAAACGATCCAGGATTCCAATTTATAATTAGTAAACTTAAGTTCAAGACCACTCATCTGTTTTGAATCAGACTGATGAACAAGCATTAGTTTTGTTTTTTAATTTACCTTACTCTCCGCCTCGTATTTAAATTTGGTGGGCAGTGTATGAACGTGAAAAGTAACACATGTTGTTCACTCCCAGGAAGTGAACTCTTTCAATCATAAGAGTTCAAAACTCAATCGAATGTGACACAGAAATGTCTCAAAAATCTCTAGGTAAGTAAGTTGCGTACACCCTTTCCCTCCCAGCCCAAAACATTTTAGGTGATTAGAAAGGAGCGACCCCGGTTTGTTTCTTCTTCTTCCCTTCCTTTCTTAGGGGAGGGCTAGAGAGCAAAGAAACGACCAAAAGAGACAGGCCGGAAGAAGGAAAGTGAAAAGCATGGAGGCTGGACAATCAGTCCTCAAATAAATGAGAACTGTATCCAAATCAGATTAAGTTGAGAGACAGCGAACTGCTAAACACCTCCCCATAACTCTAACATACCTGAGCCCGCGAGTAGAGAAACCTGGCCGTACTTCACATTCAGGCTGCTTTCTTTCCCAAGTACTCACAGGTACAAAAAGCATAAAAAGAACTTCCCGACCCTCGCCAAGTGTAGCGCGAAAAAAAGCTCGCACTGGCCTGGGCCACGCTGGCGAAGCCGTCCGACCCTCCCGGCGCGGCCGGGAACCCTCAAATGACTGTCCCGCTCCTCAGGCCGGGGAAAAGATAGCTACGGGACCGAGGCTCGGCTGGGAGGATCCGCCCGCCGTCTAGGCCCTAAGTGCCCGCCCGGCCCGGGGGCGTGGGCCCGCGCCGCCCAGTCTGGGCCCTGGCCCAGTGCCGCACGAGAGTGGTCGCGAGCCTGGACCCCGATCCAACCCCGCGCCCGGCGAGACCCGCACACCCCCCAGAGCCACGGCGGCCGCCGCCGTACGCACTCAACCCCTAGCTACCTGTCTTCGCTCTTGTTTTTCTGTTTCTTCCCCATTGCTTGTCAACTGGCGCTCGGCCCCTCTATTCGGTCTCCAGCAGACCCACTGTCTCCTGGCTCACTTTGGTCTCCGCTCAGCTCCTTTCCCCAAGTGCTGCCGCCGCTCGCACCCGGCTCTCCACAGACCCGCGCACTGGAACAGGGCACATATGGTGTGAATTCTCAGTGCGCAAGCGCATCGCCCCGCCGCTTCGGCGTGAGGACGCAGGGCGCGGCTCATCGAGAGCTGCGCTTCGGGTAGAGCGTCTTTAGTTGACCCGTCGGCCAGGCAGGAGCCCGAGCGCCCCCTCCCCGAAAAGCGTCCGCCACAAGCCGACGCCCGCGCGGATTCCAGGTTCTAGAACCCGGAGGTGGACAATGAAGCTGTTAGTTCTCCAACCCAGCCCTCTCCCGACGGGTAACGCACGCTTTGATTCAGGAGTAGGCCTGGGCTTCCCTTTATATCTTTGTATTCTCAGCTGTACGAAGTTCAGTAAAGAACGATAATGAGTACTCTGGGGTTTGCGAGAGAGAGAGACAAATCCAGGACAAAATAGGAACCTCTCAGTAACATCCGTGCATTATGCATTATGTACAGTCACTGAATAAAACATAGAACAGGACATACCCGATCAATTCCCTAACATAGGTCTTCATTTTTATGCTCAAAGCAAGAGCAAGTTCTAAAAATTCCTGTGTTTAGGGGAGGCAAGGGGGAACCTACAGGAGTAGTGGAAAATGTTCTATATCTGGATCTGGACGGTGATATTTTGCGTTTTAACTATGCAGAAGGTAATTGTGCTGTATGTGTTTATGCCTCGACTTTAAGAAAAAGAAAAATGTTCATTCAACAGAACGGAAACGCAGTTCGAGCGTCATTGCTGAGCAGGAGTGCAGCTGTCTCATTTCCAGTCTCGCGCACTGGATCGTGAGTTCTGAAGCACCGTCCTGAGAAAGTCCGACCACGCCAGCCTGCGCACTAAAAAACTGCAACTCCCAGCATGCCTTCCAGTTCGGCCGTGTACCGGGAGAAAAGCAAGGGCCGAAAACCTCGGGTTCCGGGCTGCTGAGCGGCAGGCGCACGCGCAGAACTGCTCCCACCCGCTCTCCCGCCCCTTCCTCGGGCGTCCAAGGTGATATCGCGCGAGGTCCGCAGCCAATACGGAGGCGGAAGTGACGGCTGGTTTGTAGCTGCCGGCAGGTATTGCAAGGCTAAAGCTAGAGTGGACCTCTCTTTTGAAACTGCTGCTCTCTCACTTCTCAGGCATCACCGAGAGCTCAGGTGAGGCAGAGGATAATGAGCAAAATCCGACCACTACGTCCGGGTGCTGGTGGACACTACGTTGCTCCACATCCGGAGCGGGGGGGGGCCCCGAGGCCCCGGCACCGGCACCGGCACCGGTGTTGGTGTCCTTCGGAGGCTCTCGCACATGCGCACGAGCAGGCGTTGAAGTTGGGGCCGCCGGGACTGTGCCCTCCCCCGTCTCCCCGGGCACTGGGTTGCCATTGGGGAGGTACCTGGGTGCGGTTAGGGACCAGGCCCCTTGATTGTTTTGGCGGATACCTGTAAGGATGTCCAGGAAATGACTAGGGAATTTGAGGACGCGCTGTGTCCCACCTTTCCAGCGGAGTAGTAAAAAGGAAGAATCAGAGGCTGTGGTTTGACGAATAAAAAGCTAACGGAGTTGTTGCATGGTCTGCTTACCCGGTTCTCAATGCTCTAACCACCAACACTTACCCCCAGAATACCTGCTCTTAATCGCTTCTGTTTCCATTTATCCCAGAATTAAATTCTGGCCTCATCCTTAAAGCATTCTCTGTGCTTATCTCTGGAGCACAGGTTCTAATGTGTAATTCAGTAACTTATTTTCTCCTTCCAGCCCTCTCCCTGAGGGTCGCAGTCCTACTGACATTTTCCTTGGGCAGTAGGAAGTGTGGAAATCTTTTGCTATTTGAAATACAGTACCTTTCCAATTTTATAGCACTTACAAGGAGCTTACAATTTGGTTTTTTAAACTCAAATACTTTTGAAACTTAACAGCGTAGTAATTTGAACGGAAGCGAGGCAAATGTTCATTCAACATTAAACATGTTTATTGAGTACCTTTTGTGTTCTGTGGCGATACAAAGATGAAATCAAGTATACTTTTCAAATGCTTTTCCTGTAAAGAAGAAGGAATCAGAATTGAAGTTTGCAAGAATATTTCTCTTCAGCTCAGCGTTTATAGAGGGCCTGTGTGGGTCATGATCTGTGTCAGAAGCTGAGTGAATGAATTCACACTCTGTTATGAAATTTTGGGTGCTTCGGTAGTATTTGCAAACGTATCGTAGTTTATAGACATGCAACAGCCTTCTGCTTTGTTAGACAAATTATAAATAATTTCTGGGTTAATAACCCCGAGAGACACATAAAATTGCCCTCTAATTGTTGGTATAAAATATTCCCATTTCTTTTAAAATTAAAGTTTCTACTAATTGCTAGTAGAAAATGCTCCATTTCTTTTAAAGCATATAGTCATGTGTCACGTAAGGACATTTCAGTTTTATGAGATTATAATACTGTATTTTATTGTACCTTTTCTATGTTTAGATACACAAATGCCATTATGTTATAGTTGCCTACAGTATTCAGTACGGTAACATGCTGTACAGATTTGTAACCTAGGAGTAATAGGCTGTATGGTATAACCTCGGTGTGTAGCAGGCTGCACCTTCTGGGTTGTGTAAATACAGTCTATGGCTGGGCGCGGTGGCTCACGCCTGTAATCCCAGCACTTTGGGAGGCCGAGGCAGGTGGATCACGAGGTCAAGAGATCGAGACCATCCTGGTCAACATGGTGAAACCCCGTCTCTACTAAAAATACAAAAAATTAGCTGGGCATGGTGGCGCGTGCCTGTAATCCCAGCTACTCAGGAGGCTGAGGCAGGAGAATTGCCTGAACCCAGGAGGTAGTTCTCCTGGGAATTGCAGGAGAACCTCTCCGAAGGTTGCAGTGAGCTGAGATCGCGCCATTGCACTCCAGCCTGGGTAACAAGAACGAAACTCCGTCTCAAAAAAAAAAAAAAAAAAAATACAGTCTATGATGTTTGAACAACATCAAAATCACCTAATGCACACATTTCTCAGAATGTATTCCCATTGTTTTATGGGTTTTTGTTTTTTGAGACAGGATCTAGCTCTATGGCCCAGGATGGAGTGGAAATGGTGTGATCTCAGCCCACTGCAACCTTGGCCTCCTGGGCTCAAGCTATCCTCCTCCCATCTCAGTCTCCCTAGTAGCTGGGCTAGAGGCTCACACCACCTTGCCTGCTAATTTTTCTATTTTTAGTAGAGACAGGGTTTTACCATGTTTGAGACCAGACTGGTCTCAAACTCCTGAACTCAAGCAGTCTGTCCAGCTTGGCCTCCCAATGTGCTGGGATTACAGGTGTGAGCCATGGCACCCAGCCTAGAATGTATTCTCATTGTGAAGTGATGCATGACTCTAATTGAGATAGGTCTTTCTTTCTAATCTGGATTAGTTATATTTTGAAACTCTTATTTTGCACAGAGGAGTGATGATGGGGAAAAAATTTTTTTTAAGTGTTTGGAGTGTTTTACATCAAAGTTAAGAACACTGTCAGTAAATGGAAACCAATATTAATTTTTTAGCCTCGTCGATTTTTTTTTGTTAGGTAATAGGAGAACAAGAATGGACATTGATGCTTAGGGAACACCAGGCACTGTTCTTTACATAAATGGTAATGAGACGTTTTAGGAAACTAAATGTCTGGAAATGAAACTCATTTGGGTAGTGACTGTGAAAAAAATCTGTGTTTTGCTCAACTCTACTCTGTGTCTGTTTAAAGTTTAATATATATATTTGTAAAACCACAGTAGCTGTACCTTCCTATTGTTCGCAGTTGTTTCTGATTTCTCTTTTCTGTTGGTAAAGAACACTGAATGTCCGTCTATATCACTAGGTATAACTTCACAACTCATTTCTCTGTGGTTTGGTGATGGTCTTAAAGACTGTCTTTGCTTTAGTATAGTAAAACACATGCTAAATCAGAAGCATCCTAAATTTGCTATAAGTTGTTTTTGAGTGGTGTGACGGGAACCTATTGAAAATTAAATTTAAAAACACACAAAAATTCTTAAGCCCAGTATCAAGTGCTTGGATGTCATTAGAATACTCCATAGAGTTCACATTATATATTCACCAGAATTTTTGAAGATGGTAAAGAAAAGCTTGCTTATTGTTTGCATTTTTTTAAAGTGTGCTTTGTAAATCTTCTCCCCAGCACCCAGGCTGAACTCTGTACTATTTGGAAGAATGGAAGCCGATGCGTCTGTTGACATGTTTTCCAAAGTCCTGGAGAATCAGCTGCTTCAGACTACCAAAATAGTGGAAGAACATTTGGATTCTGAAATTCAGAAACTGGATCAGATGGACGAGGATGAATTGGAACGCCTTAAAGAAAAGAGACTTCAGGCACTAAGGAAAGCTCAACAGCAGAAACAAGTAACCTCTCTGCCCTGCTTTCTGAAATTGCTATAACAGTATGCGCCTAACAACTTATATATACATGTGCTGTAGTACTTACATTTTGTTCTTTGTTTTTAGGGATTTTGGAGTTCATAGTACCTATTACTGTTAAAAAATTTCCCAGAAAAAATATGTTTGAAGACACATTCAAAATTAGCCCAATCTCTGTATTAATCTACAGTCAAGTAAAAGAAAGATATGCCCAAGATCGTTTTTCTGAATTTGTTTGGTTGAATGGAGGGCTAGGGAGTCATTGGTTTCCATTTCAGGTAATATTAAAGCCTATCACAATTTAGCTGTTTTCAAAGCAAATGAGATAACACACGTGAGATAAGAGCTATTAAGTCAATTTATGTTAAAAAATTATTTCAGGCATTTCCAACGAAATATTTATGTGGCATATTCAAAAGAATGCATGCTTTGTAACAAAGAAAGGTGGCCACAGCTCTATCCTTGTTGCCTCTTAGAATGTTCGTATAGAATAAGCGCAGAGTTGTAAACTCTGATTGAAACCAATAGATTAAATCCTGTAAATTGAATTTTTTTTTCCTTTTTGAGACAGTCTCACTATGACACCCAGGCTGCAATGCAGTGGTGACACCTCGGCTCAAAGCAGCCTCTGCTTCCCTGGTTCAAGCAGTTCTCCTACCTCAGCCTCCTGAGTAGCTGGGACTACAGGAGCATGCCACCATGCCTGGCTAATTTTTGTATTTTTGATAGAGACAGAGTTTCACCATATGGGCCAGGCTGCTCTTAAACTCCTGACCTCGAGTGATCCTCCTGCCTCAGCCTCCCAAACTGCTGGGATGACAGGCATGAACCACCACATCTGGCCAAGTTCTGTAAATTGAATTTTGATTAAAACATATTTCCATTGGGTTACATTGGAAATACATTGTTGCCAACTCTGGTTCCTTTTCAGTTGACTGACTAAAACATGAGGCTTAACTTTTATGATGAAATAGGGAGTTTTGGCCAGGTGTGGTGGTTTTCAGGTCTGTAATTGTAACACTTTGAGAGGCCAAGGCGGATAACCTGAGGTTTGGGAGTTCAAGACCTGCCTGGCCAATGTGGTGAAACCCTGTCTCTAATAAAAATACAAAAATTAACCAGATGTGGTGGTGTGCGCCTGTATTCTCAGCTACTTGGGAGACTGAGGCAGGAGAATTGCTTGAACGCAGGAGGTGTAGGTTGCATTGAACCAAGGTTGTGCCACTGCCCTCCAGCCTCAACAATAGAGCTAGACCCAGTTCCCCCAAAAAAGGGGGAGTTTTGCTTGTATTACTTTAGCATGACTTTGATATATTTACACCCCCATGTTTAGAACAGTTGATATGTTTAGAAGAGTTACTGTGAAATAATCTTTTATGAATGAGTCCAAATTTCTATATTTTGAGTTTTCTAAAATAGAATATGTTACATGGCTTTTACTTGTACCCTATTTTAGAAAATAGGTTGCTTTTCTTTCTTTTTTTTTTGAGAGGGAGTCTTGCTCTGTTACCCAGGATGTAGTGCAGTGGCATAATCTCAGCTCACTGCAGCCTCCGTGTCCTGGATTCAAGTGATTCTCCTGCCTCGGCCTCCCAAGTAGCTGAGAGTACAGGTGCCCACCACTACACCCAGCTAATTTTTATATTTTAGGAGAGATGGGATTTCACCATGTTGGTCAGGCTGGTCTCAAACTCTGACCTCAGATGATTCACCTGCCTTAGCCTCCCAAAGTGCTGGGATTACAGGTGTGAGCCACCCTGCACCAGGCCCAGTTGGCTGCTTTTCATAGTATAGGGCTGATAATTAGTATGCAGGCGATGAATTGTTGAAATTTAAGGTAATATATGTTTAGGTTCTCCCACAAATTCATATTTCATGATTACATTTAAGTACACTACTAATTGCTAATGTGCAACTGAAAGTAATTATTCATAACAAGGATATTTTTGTAGAGAGACTATGAATTCACCTGATTTGCAGTGATGAACATACATTAAATAATGTCTTAAAGGAACTTTTTGGCAGTTCAAAACAGTGGTCTGAATATTTATGGTTAAAACCAACTAAGTCAGGGAGGCTGGATATAGGCCCTTTTTTATTATTAATGTATAAATCAATTTAAAATGAATTTGTCATGGAGTAATTTAGAGGGTCTTATTTTAAAACTTTCATTGCATTTTAATAGGTCTTTTTTATTAAAATGTCTTCTGGAAGTCGGCAAGAAGCCTAGTGATTTGTGTAGATATTCTTTTTATAATAGATTATACAGTAATTTTGATTTTTTGATCCACAATGATATTGGCGAGATCAGTGTATGCAGTGACTTATACGTAGCACTTAATAGGCCTAGGTGAACCTGTATTATTCTCTCAGCCAAGCACCCTCCTATTCTTAACTAGAGTTGGTGCACATAGGTAGGGAGCAGAGGGATAAGGTAAGAAATAGGAGGAGTTAAGCAGAGGCTTGGGTGATGGCCACTGAGAGCTGGGTGCTGCCCAGCTGCCATGCCTCAGGTAGGCCTGACCTGCCTCATTCTGTTCTGCAAGTACCTTAGGAGCACACACTGTCTATAAGGGGCTATGCTAAGAGCACAGGGGTGTGGTGAATGTGTCAGCAGAGGCCCTGAGCATTGGTAGAGGTTCAGGATGGGCACATCCTCCCTCAAAAAAGCCAGGACAGTTTCAGGTCTTCAGCCTCCTGATTAAACACTTGAGAATAAATAATGAAACGAAATAGCAGCTTTTTTTTTTCTTCAACAGAGTCTTGCTCTGTCACTCGGCTGGAGTGCAGTGGTACAATCCTGGCTCACTGCAACCTCCACCTCCTGGGTTCAAGAGAGTCTTCTGCCTCAGCCTCCCTAGTAGCTGGGATTACAGGCACCTACCACCAAGCCCGGCTCATTTTTGTATTATTAGTAGAGACGGGTTTCCGCATGTTGGCCAGGCTGATCTTGAACTCCTGACCTCAGGTTATCCGCCAACCTCAGCCTTTCAAAGTGTTGAGATTACAGGTGAAGAGCCACCACATCCAGCCTAGAAATAGCAGCTTTTTAAAAGACAAATACTTTTTTTTTTTTGAGAAGGGTCTTGCTCAGTCACCCAGGCTGGAGTACCGTGGCATGATCTCAGCTCACTACAACCTCTGCCTTCAGGGTTCAAGCGATTTTTGTGCTTCAGCCCCCAGAGGAGCTGCGATTAAAGGCGTGTGCCAACACACCTGGCTAATTTTTGTATTTTTTGTAGAGACGGGGTTTCGCCATGTTGCCCAAGCTGGTCTTGAATTCCTGTCCTCAAGTGATCCACCTGCCTCAGCCTCCCAAAGTGCCGAGATGACAGGTGTGAGCCACTGCACCCAGCCTAACAAATACTTTTTAAGGGCACATATCATTGGTAAATTGCAAAAGCAGTCATGAAACTTCATATGCCAAAGAAAATATCAGGGTCTCCTGTGCATGTCAGTTCAACATAAGCAGATGTGAACCACAGTTCACAACCACAGTTGTTATAGTCTGGCCATGTTCATTGACATCCAAAGGAGGAAGGGAGATGGCCTTCCTGGCTCTTTGGTTGGACCTCTTCTGGAGGGCTGGATTGAGACGTCTGTCACATTTTAAGAAGACATGAGTGTGTTTAGATGATATCCTGGAAGAACAGGAATTCTAGAAATCTTTTCATATGAGAATGGTTGAAAGGAACTGGAAGTGTTCAGTGTGGAGAAGGGAAAACTTAGGCAATTTGTGATGTTTGAAGGGCTGACATGGGAAAGAGATTAAAACTTTAATCTTTGTTCAAGCTGGAAGCCACAAACCAGAGTTATGAATATATTACAGTTCATTGTGAGAAGACCTTCCTAACAATTAGTACAGGTACAGATGCTTTTTAAACATTTCTAAGGTGGTTACCAAAAGCAGACAGAGCTCTTCCTCTTCAGAGCTGCAGTAACCTCCTTCTGTCCCCAAAAGAAGGCTTTATCTCATAAGCATTATTTTTACTTTTTTCTTTTTCTTTTTATTTATTTTTGAGACAGAGTCGCTCTGTTGCCCAGGCAGTGATGCGATCTCAGCTCACTGCAACCTCTGCTTCCCGTGTTCAAACAATTCTCCTGCCTCATCCTCCCTAGTGGCTGGGATTATAGACACCTACCACCACAGCCAGCTAATTTCTTGCATGTTTTTTAATAGAGACAGGGTTTCGCCATGTTGGCCATGCTAGTCTCGAACTCCTGACTTCGGGTGATCCAGCCGCCTCGGCCTCCCAAAGTGGCTAGGATTATAGGCGTGAGCTACCACGCCCAGCCTCATGAGCATTATTTTTAAAAGACATATAATAACTTGTATCAAATATTTCTGATTTTAGTAGTTTAAGAGTACCTGGATAAAGTTAAGTGGACATTTACATTCTGAGTCTATGATCTAAATTTTTATTTTTGAGGTTATGAGAAAAACAAATACTTTTAGTTACCAAGACAGGTAATTGTCTTGAACCCAGGCCATGCTGTGGAGACATTCACTGCCCATAGACTAGTTTTGCGTTGACAGTAGAAACAGGAAAGTAAACTGCTAAAAGGAATGCATTTCTCTATAAGATAAAATTGACTTCAGTCAGGCACAGTGGCTCAGGCCTGTAATCCTAGCCCTTTTGGAGGACAAGGTGGGAGTGTTGCTTGGATGTAGACATTTGAGACCAGCCTGGCAATATAGTAAAACCCCATCTCTACCAAAAAAGAAAAATAAATTAGCCAGGCATGGTGTGGCATGTGCCAATGGTCCCAACTCCTTGGGAGACTGAGATAGGAGGATCTCTTGAGCCTAGGAGGTTGAGGCTGCAGTGAGCTATGAGCATGCCACCACACTCCATCCTGGGCAACTGTAGCGAGATCCATTCTCAACAATAAAAAACACTTAAAAAATGTATTACAAAATACAATGGTGATTTAGACACTTAAAATGTCAAGCGGTGCTGAAAGAGATGTTTCACATGTGTGATGTTTTGCTTCTCTCCAAATTAGGAATGGCTTTCTAAAGGACACGGGGAATACAGAGAAATCCCTAGTGAAAGAGACTTTTTTCAAGAAGTCAAGGAGAGTAAAAAAGTGGTTTGCCATTTCTACAGAGACTCCACATTCAGGTAACTTGGTTTCCATTCGTGACTTTTTCTCAAAGAAACACAATGAACTTTTTCTAAAAAAAAACCCCACACAATCAACTGTTTGGATAGAGATATACTGGCTTACTAGAGAAATGAAGAAAACTAGGCCGGGTGTGGTGGCTCACGCCTGTAATCCCAGCACTTTGGGAGGCCGAGGCAGGTGGATCACGAGGTCAAGAGATCGAGACCATCCTGGTCAACATGGTGAAACCCCGTCTCTACTAAAAATTAGCTGGGCATGGTGGCGCATGCCTGTGGTCCCAGCTACTCGGGAGGCTGAGGCAGGAGAATTGTCTGAACCCCAGAGGCGGGGTGCGGTGAGCCGAGATCGCACCATTGCACTCCAGCCTGGGTAACGAGTGAAACTCCGTCTCAAAAAAAAAAAAAAAAAAAAAAAAAAGAAATGAAGAAAACGAAAAAAAGTTGTTTTATTGTACTCTCTCATATGTTTTTTAGTATTAAGTTAGGCAGTCTGGGCCCAGTGGCGAAAGCCTGCAATCCCAGCACTTCAGGATCCACTCCAAGGCAGGTGGATCACTTGAAGTCAGGAGTTCGAGACCAGCCTGGCAAACATGGCAAAACTACAAAATTAGCCAGGTGTGGTGGCAAGCACCTGTAGTCCCAGATACTGGGGATGCTGAGGTGGGGCAATTGCTTGAACCTGGGAGATGGAGGTTGCAGTTAGCCAAGCTTATGACACTGCACTCCAGCTTGGGCAATAGAGTAAGACTGCATCTCAGAAAAAAAAGAGAGAGAAAAAAGTTAAGCAATTGTTAATTTTAAAGAGTAACTTAACAGTTACAGGCAAAAATATAAATGAATATTACTGAAAGTATTCCCACATAAATAGCTATGTTTTTGAATTATATTTTCACTAGCTAACTCTTAAAAACATCTTAGAAATGTACGCTTAAAATTCTTATCATCATGACAATAATTATTTCCATCTAGTATTGTGATACAGACACAGTGTTGGGAACCAGCAACAGCTGTTGAGAGTCAGTGTTCTTTCACTCAGTCCTTCTCAGCTAACAACTGTGATAGAGAGATGGTGGCTTGGCCAAACCTTTCACCAAAGCAGAGTTGGGACTGCCAGTCTTGGCTAGAAGGAGAAGTGATTTTTCTTAAACCACCCTAGGTCTCCAAATCTCTCTAAGGAGGCAAATCCCTTATGAAATATTAATACCTCCCCAGAAGAGGTTATGTCTTAAACCAAAGGACCCAAGCCTTTGTGGTTTTGCTCACAGATTTGATTAGTTACCAACACTTAAAAATTGAGAGATAAACCCTTTTGAAAATATTCATATTCAGAATTTTTCTTTAGAAAGCTCAGAAAACTATAATAGCAGAGCTGAAACTAATGGCAGTCTTCTGCTAACTGGCAGCTGCCCCCACCGAAACAGACAAGCACTGTGCTCTAGGTTCTCTGGCACTCACTGTGGTGTCAGCCCTGCTGTCTTTATTTCTGTGGCCTGCCTGCCCCTTTTTCTTGACCTTACAACCCAATAGCTTCATTGTTAGTTGACACCTTTCAAGAATTGATTGCTGGGATTCATTGACTAAGAGAATAAAAATGAAAGAAAATATTGAGATGGTGTTATCTCTTGTGAGGAACAGGGAGAGAAGGGATTAGGCAGGCAGAAGGGTATCAGAGAAAACTCTGCCCTTGTGGTACACAACTAACTTCGATTGCCACACATTCTTCAAGTTGCCAACCTTTCACAGATATGATGAGGTGATACGTAAATATACTGGTATATAAAATATTATTTGTCCACTTTTTTTTTGTTTAGTTTTGGGTTTTATTTTTTTCTGGCGGGGGGGGTTGGTTTTTTTTCTTGAGATGGAGTCTTACACAGTCGCCCAGGCTGGAGTGCAATGGCAGGATCTTGACTCACTGCAACCTCCACCTCCTGGGTTCAAGGGATTCTCCTGCCTCAGCCTCCCAAGTAGCCAGGACTACAGGCATCTGCCACCATGCCCGGCTAATTTTCGTATTTTTAGTAGAGATGGAGTTTTGCCATGTTGGCCAGGCTGGTCTCAAACTCCTGACCTCAGGCGACCCACCCATCTTGGCCTACCAAAGTGTTGGGATTACAGGCGTGAGCCACGGCACCCAGCCTCACTAGTTTCTTCTATGTCTTACCCAACTAAATTGTTGGTTTTGTAGAGGCAGAGCATTTGCCTGTATTGTGGCCCACTGTGCTCTGGGATCATAGCCCTAAAGCAACTGCCTGACACATAGTAGGTGGTCAATAAACACATTTGATGAGTGTATAAACGGTACATCACCAGCAGTACTCACCTTCAAACAGAACTGAAAAATTAAAATGAAAATCATCCAATTAACTTTATATATTAACAGAGTTCCTCATACATAGTAGATGGAATGCTTTTGTGAATATTATCCCTGGAACAGTCACAATAATCTTCAGAGGCACTCATTTCATGTGTGGAAACAAAACTTGGAGAAATTAAGTGACTTACCTAATATCACTCAGATATTAAATGATAAAACAGAGAGAGATTTGAGCTTTGAACCCAGCCTACTGCTTTTTAAAAATTTTTTTAATTATTGTGGCCAATAGTAGGTAAATATGGGGTACATGAGATATTTTAACACAGGCATGCAATGTGTAATAATCACATCAGGGTAAATGGAGTATCCATCATCTCAAGCATTTATCCTTTGTGTTATAAACAATTTAATTATGCTTGTTTAGTTATTTTTAAATGTACATAAAGGCCTATAGCTATTTATACCATGACTGTTGCTTTTGAATTTTTAGAAATTGATTGACAAATGGTATAATTATAGACTTATTTAAAATAGGTTCCTGGCGGGGCATGGTGGCTCACACCTGTAATCCCTGCACTTTGGGAAGCTGAAGCATGTGGATCGCCTGAGGTCAGGAGTTTGAGACCAGCCTGACCACTATGGTGAAACCCTGTCTCTACTAAAAATACAAAAATTAGCCAAGCATGGCAATGGGTGCCTGTAATCCCAGTTACTCGGGAGGCTGAGACAGGAGAATCGATTGAACTCAGGAGGGTGAGGTTGAAGTGAGCCGAGATTACACCACTGCACTCTAGCCGGAGTGACAAAGTGAGACTCCACCTCAAAAATAAATAAATAAATAAATAAAAGTTGATCATAATGAACACCTAGGGTTCAGAACCACCAGTCTAAAAGATTGTTGCAACAGTCTGTTTTAGAAACAGTCATGAATTGGCCAGTTGGAAGCGAATTTTTTTTTGAGACAGAGTCTCACTCTCTTGCCCAGTCTGGAGTGCAGTGGCGCAATCTTAGCTCACTGTAACCTCTGCCTCCCAGGTCAGAGCGATTCTCATGCCTCAGCCTCCTGTGTAGCTGTGATTACAGGTGCCCAACATGAAACCCAGGTAAGTTTTATATTTTTAGTAGAGATAGGGTTTCACCATATGGACCAGGCTGGTCTTGAACTCTTGGCCCCAAGTGATCTGCCCACCTCAGCCTCTCAAAATGCTGGGATTACAGGCGTGAGCCACTGCATCAGGCCAGAAAATAAATTTTAATATAAAGAAGATGTCACTTTTTTGTTTGTTTTGTTTTTTGAGATAGAATTTCACTATGTTACCCAGGTTGGGGTGCAATGGCACAATCTCGGCTCACTGCAGCCTCTGCCTCCCAGGTTCAAGCAATTCTCCTACCCCAGGCTCCCAAGTAGCTGGGATTACAGGCACACATCACCAAACCCAGCTGATTTTTTAAATTTTTAGTTGAGACAGGGTTTCACCATGTTAGCTAGGCTTGTCTCAAACTCCTGACCTCAAGTGATCTGCCCACCTCAGCCTCCCAAAGTGCTGAGGTTACAGACGTGAGCTACCGTGCCCAGCCAAGAAAATCTTACTTCTATTTCCCTCTTCATTGGAAGATGGCTTAATAAAAGTTACTATGGGTATTTTTTAATTCCCTAAAAGCATAATGGCCAAATTTATTTAAATATTATTAGTAACCCTTAGTCTTAATGTGCTTCGAGTTTCATATTTAGGAGCAAGGAGTTTTTCCTCAGTGATGCTATTCAGTTCTTCTTCATGACTTCCAAATATGGCACCATGTGTGCATTTCTGATTCTTGTCTCTTCTGAGTTCTGTGAAGTTTCACTTTGTCCCTTCTCAGGTTTTCCTGTATGAGATAGGACAAATTCCTTTATGACTTAAAGCATATATTTAATATTTTAAAGGATAATATCGTTAATGCAAATCTGACTTTCTAGAATCTTACAGGCTGTTTTCCCATCTCATAATCAGGCAGCTAACCTTTGATCTGGAACTGAGGTCATCTGACACACTTGCAGGTTGGCTGCCATGTTATGAGACTCAACAGAAAAACTATATAATTATTAGATTTACCTTAATGACATTTATTTTGGAAAAAAGATTTGTGGTTTTAGCTTATAATTTTCTATGTGGTTACGTACAGGTGTAAAATACTAGACAGACATCTGGTGATACTGTCCAAGAAACACCTCGAGACCAAATTTTTGAAGCTGAATGTGGAAAAAGCACCTTTCCTTTGTGAGAGACTGCATATCAAAGTCATTCCCACACTAGCACTGGTAAAAGACGGGAAAACACAAGATTATGTTGTTGGGTTTACTGACCTGGGAAATACAGATGACTTCACCACAGAAACTTTAGAATGGAGGCTCGGTTGTTCTGACATTCTTAATTACAGGTAACTTTTAACAAAAGATCATACTGATTTTAGTTCATATAGTTGATATTTTTACAGAGGACTTTTGTATTGTAACATTTATTTTATGAAATTAATACCTTTCGGCTAAGGCATAGAAAGTTTCTCAAAGGAAAAGCATATTTCTTAAAGCATGTGTTATTAGAATGATTTTACAGCAAAATCAGATTTACAGATAAAACTGATTTTATAAGTAAAACTGAATCTCACCGTACTTCTGACTATAAAAGTTTTCAGTTTAACATGCTATTGAAACTAATTTTGTATTAATCTGGAAACTTAAAATGGCAATCTCTAGTTGACTATTCCCTAATTTAAGCCAGATTACTCAAATGGACACTGACTTAAGTGATTCTCTTTGATAAAATAAAAATTAAAAACACACTATTGCAAAGAAAGTTATACTTTAAAATACTAGATTTTTAACTTAGATATTTCCGTTTTACTTATAGAAGCTGATAAATACAAAAAGGTTTCTCTGCCTAGCTTACATTACTTGCTATGAAGAAGTTTTAGTTTGAAAACAATCCAAAACCCAACTTTCATTTCTTTGTCTACTTCTTCAGACAAATAATTTATCTAATTCCACAAATCAGAGCATATCATCTTGTCTTTTTTGCCTTTTCTTGATTTGCAGAAGTAACAGGTAAAATTGTGCAATCATTCCAGAGTCATGGTGCCTTTCAAGAAGTAAAAGGTTCTCACTTTTTTCTTTCTGCCCCATTTTCCTCCCCTCTTTTCTCTGACTCTCCTAGACATGCCGAAATCATTCCTATGTTGTAGAAATTGGTTTCATTTTCTTAATATTAACATAAATATTAATATTTATTAAATAAAGTTATATTTTGAAGTAATTTTAAACCTTAAACAAATTGTATACTGGCGGAGTGGCTCACTTCTGTAATCCCAGCACTTTGAGAGGCTGAGGTTGACAGAATTGCTTGAGGCCAGGTGTTTGAGACCAATCTGGGCAACATAGTGAGATGAGACCTCATCTCTACAAAAAACTAGTAGAAACAAACCCCTACAAAGTAGTACAAGGAATCCTCATTGTCCCTTTGCCCATATTACCCAATTTTAAACGTATTTGTTGTATCATTGTCTGTTTAGATACTATGAAGTATTTGGGGGACCATTTGAGCAGAAGTTGTGGATACAGTGTCCCTTTACTCCTAAGGACTTCCATATGTATTTCTGAAGAACATTTTCCTTTTTTTTTCCTTTTCCACTTAAAAAAACATTTTATTTTTATTTTATTATCTTTAACTTATTTATTATACTTTAAGTTCTGGGGTACATGTGCAGAACATGCAGGTTTCTTACATAGGTATACACGTGCCATGGTGGTTTGCTGCATCCTTCACCCTGTCAAGACTTCCATATGTATTTCCTAAGAACATTTTCTTACATGGAGCCACAGTGCAATTATTAAAACAGGAATTACTGTGTAATTTATAGCTCTTATTTCAAATGTTATCATTGTCTCAATATTGTCCTTCATACCAAAAATGCAGCACGTTTAGTTATTATAGCTTTAGTTACCATTGTTATTCTTTGGTTCTTAAGACTGATGTTTTTGAAGAGTACAAACTGTTTATTTTGGAGGACATCTCCCAGTTTGGGTTTGTCTTACATTTCCTCAAGACTGGATTTAGATTATCGATTTTTGACAGGCATGTTATGGAAGTAATGCATCATATCAGGAGGTATGCGATGGTTTCTCTCATTTCTGGTGAGAGCTGAGCACTATGTTAACCAAATGTTAATTCATAATGAATGATAAAAAGGAAAATAGGTCTGGTGCGCTGGCTTACACCTATTATCCCAGCACTTTGGGATGCCAAAGCAGGAGGATTGCTTGAGCGTAGGGGTTCAAGACCAGCCTGGGCAATATAGTGAGAAGTCATCACTACAAAAAATTTAGAAATTAACTGAGCATGGTGGCACATGCCTGTAATCCCAGCTGCTCAGGAGGTTGAGGTGGGAGGATCGCTTGAATCCAGGAAGTAGAGGTTGCAGTGAGCCGTGATCACACGACTGCACTTCAGCCTGGGCCACAGAGTGAGACCCTGTCAATATTTAAAAGGAAAATAATATTGATTTAAAACAAATTTAATAGTATAAAATAAGGTTTAAGGCTATTAACCATCAATATAAGCATTATACCTCTTCCCTGACACCAGCATTTTAAAGAAATTTTATTCTATATGTTACAGGAAGGAAACAAAGGTAGACTTTTTGTGCAGTTTAGCATACTAGTACTAAATCATAAAGAATAAAATGCTTTTTCTATTTTTTTTTAAATTTCTAGTGGAAATTTAATGGAGCCACCATTTCAGAGCCAAAAGAAATTTGGAACAAACTTCACAAAGCTGGAAAAGAAAACTATCCGAGGAAAGAAATATGATTCAGACTCTGATGATGATTAGAGCTCATTAATTCTTTGTAAATTGTCTTTTTTCTTCTGCTTCAGATTTAAATGTGTTTTCTAAATTCTATTGATGTCTATACATTAGTCATCTAAATACTCATATTCTCGAGTTTTATACAGTTGTATCACATTGAAAGGTATCTTTACTATTTTCTGTGTGGCCATCATGTTTAAGTTGAGGAAAACTTCTCCGTTCTTAAATTATCTGGGACGGGTCTGGATTCTCTATTTTTGAGATTGACTTTATCACAATAGGATTCATACGTCTTTATACCATTCACAATTGTGTTTTTGATCTACAGAGTTAGAAATTCAAAAACTATTCCAGAACTAATTAATTGGTATTATTTATACAACAGGTCAAGTAACATTTACTGGTGCAATACTGCACTTGTAAATGAATTATAAACACTCTTCTAGAATATATTCAAATAGCTATTAAAGAACTGGTTATTTATTCTGGACACTGCATGTTGATGTTGAATCAACTGATGCCAGCAGAAAGCTATTTTGGGTTGTGAACATACTGCCTTATTTAAAGGGTCCTGATTGCTTGTATTTTAAACATTAATTAAAAAGAAATCAGGAAACACTTTTGAAATAACAGCATAAGGAACTCCACTGTCTCTGCTCAATAAAATACTTGTAACTGGAAGTTTAAGTTTATGTGGAAATTGTCATAAAAGCATACATCCAACAAAAACATTTTTTCAAGTCTACTAAATCTTAGTAAGAATAGGGACTCGGTGGCATTTGAGCCAATGCCTCATTCCCTCTCTCCAGTTCCCAATCCTGGACTACAGTTTCTCCTCTGGAAGAATAGGTTACTAGCATGCCTCATTCCCCCATGCTCTGTGTTGCAGAAGCCCTTTTGCAAGCAAAAGTAGCCAACAGATTTAGGGCACTCCTTCCTCCACCTAGTCCCCACTTATGGCACAGAAAATCTACCCCAGGAATAGCAGACTGAGAATACTGGGCCTCAAATGTTTTTACCCCAGCTTACTCATAGGATGGAGGCTTTTTACTTGTATGTAGGGTGATGGTTCCATGCAAGAAGATGCACTTGGAGGAGAGCAAGAGCTGTATCACCCTTTTATCCCTTGTAGACTGTGGGTATAACTCCTAGAAAAGCTGGCCAGTGTCCTCATCCCTAGCTCTGGAGCAGCAGAAGAGAGGTTTTGTCCAGTGGAAACGGCAAGTCGTAAAAACACCTCCATAACACTCCCTAAAGGGACTATTTAGAACAGAATGAGAGAAGATGTTCAAGTGTAAGGGTGCCAGCAAATACAATGGGTCTGGGAGGGGGACTATTAAGAGCAGACTGATAGCTCTCTGATGGCAGCAATCAAAAGGGAATGTCAACAAGCTCAACAAATAAGAGAAAGAGCCTGGCATAGTGGCTCACACCTGTAATCCTTGCACTTTGGGTGGCCAAGGTGGGCAGATCACTTTAGGAGTTTAAGACCAGCCTGGCCAGCCTCGTGAAACCTTGTCTCCACTAAAAATTTAAAGCCAGGCATGGTGGCACGTCCCTTTAATTCCAGCTACTTGAGAGGCTGAAGCATGGGAATTGCTGAACTCTAGGAGGTAGAGGTTCTAGTGAGCCAAGATTATACCATTCCACTCCAGCCTGGATGATGGAGTGAGACCCTATCTCCAAAAAAAAAATAGAGAGGCAGCTGTTAATAGTCCTAGGGTTAGAACAAGCCTCAAGGCTGCTCTACAGGGGCCTGAACTTAGATTAAACTCTGCAGTGACTTGTGCCCCAGAGCATTGTGAGAAACAAGAGTGGCCAGGTATGGTGGCTCATGCCTGTAATTAATACCAGCATTTTGGAACGTGAAGGCAGGAGGACCAGTAGAAGCCAGGAATACAAGACCAGCCTGGGCAACATAGTGAGACCTAAAAAATGAAAACAATAGAGTGGTTAGCTAGTAAATTAGTGGGTGCTAATAGTAGGATGTGGTAACAAAAGAGGTTCTAACTAACTAGAACCTTTCCAAAAAGATCAGGAAAAGGTAAAAGAGCCCTATCCAAACCACTGTCCTTGGGGCTAGAGGGAGTAGTCATCGTGACTGCACACACCCAGACTGTACTGTGAGGAGGAACACTGGAGGCTGCATCCTTCAGGGTAAGTGGATTAAACTGAAATCAGCCAAGAAACTAAACAAGAAAAAATGGAGGGTAGGGAATGGGGGTTAAAGGGAAATTAGTATCCAGAGCTGCTATGATGTAGTGTCTAAAATATCCAGATCTCAACAACAAATTACAAGACATGCAGAAGATCAGGAAATTAATCCATACAAGGAGGGAAAAAGCAATCAAAAGAAACAGAGGTTCAGTAGGTTGGAAGCAGATAAAAACTTCCAAGTGTTCATTCTTTATAAAATTATAAGTGTGTTCCAAAAAAGTCTAAACGAAACTGCTGGAGGTAAAGGAAGGTATGCTTACAATATTCCATCAAACAGAGAATATCAACAAAGGAATTTAAAAGAGCCAAATTGAAATTCTAGAGTTCAAAAGTAAAGCAACTGTAATGAAAAATTTATTAGAGGAGCTCCACAGTAGATTTGTGTACACAGTAGAAAGATTTAGCAAACTATTGGAAGAAATTATGCTTGAAAATCCAATATTTGGTGAAAACATTAATCCAAGAAGATCAAATTGTAAGATAACAGAGATAGATCCATACCCAAACTGTAGTAAAAACAATGAAAGAAAAAAATCTTGAAAACAAAAAGGCTACTCATTGTGTATAAGAAAACCCATTGGCCCAGCTGTGGCTTACTCCTGTAATCCCACTTTGGGTGCTTGAGGCCAGGAATTCAAAACCAGCCTGGGCAATATAGTGAGACCCTCATCTCTACCAAAAAATTCAAAAAAATTAGCGAGATGTGGTGGCATGCAACTGTAGTCATAACTACTCTAGAGGCTGACACAGGAGGATCATTTGAGCTCAGGAGTTTGAGGCTACAGTGAACTATGATTGCACAACTGTACTCCAGCATGGTCAACAGAACAAGACTGCCTCAATTTTTTTTCCTTTTCATTTTTCAATGATCTTAAGTTTAAAAAATAAATAAATAAATGCAAAGCTTTATTTTATGAGTCAGAGACTTGTTATTAAGTCTTAAGATTGTAATACTGCCCCCGGCCAGTTAATCTGCAGATTCAACAAATTAAAAAAAAAACGAAAACCCCCACTCCCAGATACCTTTTTGCAGAAATTGACAAGTTGATCTTAAAATTTATGTGGACCCAGAGTAGCCAAAATAATCTTGAGAAAGAACATATTTGGAGAACTCACACACTCATATCAAAACTTAGAGCAAAACAACAATTATAAGACAGGCATAAAGATAAATAGAATTAAAAGTAAGAATCCCTTGTGTTTTGTGGTCAATTGATGTTTGGCAACAGTGCCAAGAATAGTCTCCAACAAATGGCTTTGGGACAAGTAAAAACTGACCCCTGCTTTCTGTGATATACAAAAAACTCTAAATGTATCAAACGCCTAAATATAAGAATTAAAACTACAAAACTTAGAAAATCGAAGAGTAAATCTTCACAACTTTGGGTTACACAAGGCTTCTTGATGTGACATCAAAAGCACAGGTCACAAAAGAAAAAATAGATGAACATCAAATATAAAAATGTTTTTGCTGTAATTGATGCCATCAGATTAGAATAATAACTCAGAATTGGAAAAATATTTACAAATCATATATCTGATAAAATGTATCCAGAATATGTAGAGAATTCTTTCAACCCAATAAGAAGAATACGAACACCCAATTTTAAAAATGAATAAAGAATCTTCCCAAAGGAAATGAACAGTCGGCCAATAAGTGCATGAAAAGATGCTCAAATCATTAACCATCAGGGAAATGTAAATCCAAATAACAAGACATCCCACTTTGCACTAGCTAGGATGATTATAAAAAAAAAAAGCAGACAAGTATTGGCAAGGATGTGTAAAAATTGGAACCCTCATGCATTGTTTTAGGATTGTAAATTGCTTCAACCACTATAAAAGAGTTTGGCAGTCTCTCAAAAATCATACATAGTTATTAGCCCAATAATTTCACTCTTTTTTTTTCTTTTTCTTTTTTTGAGATGGAGTTTTGCTCTGTTGCCAAGGCTGGAGTGCAGTGGCTTGAACCTCGGCCTCCCAGGTTCAAACAATTCTCCTGCCTCAGCCTCCCAGGTAACTGGAATTACATGTGCATGCCACCATACCTGGCTAATTTACATATTTTGAGTAGAGATGAGGTTTCACCATGTTGGCCAGGCTGGTCTCAAACTCCTGACCTCAAGTGATATGCCCATTGTGGCCTCCCAAAGTGCTGGAATTACAGGTGTGAGCCACTGTTTCCAGCCTAATTTCACTCACGCGTATGCTCAAGAGAACTGAAAATGCATGTTCACATAAAAACTTGTACATGAATGTTTATAGCAGCATTATTTATAACTAAAAAATGGAAACAGACTAAATGTCAATAGATAAATATGCCATATCTATAAAATGGTATGTTATTTAGCAATGAAAAGGAATGTTATGGATAATAGCTTGGTGCAAAGTAATTGCAGTTACTTTTGACCGCATATTGTATATTGTATGTTGTGTATTAATTGATAGCTCACATCTCCCTAAAATGTATAAAACTAAGCTGTGCCCTGACCACCTTGGGCACATGTCAGGAGTTTCTGAGGCTGTGTCACAGGAACTGGCACATATTCTACCTTGGCAAAGTAATTGCAGTTAACTTTTGCACCAACCTAATACATGCTACAACATGGATGAACCTTAAAAACATACTAAAGGAAAGCCGGTCTACTTATATGAAATGTCCAGAAAAGGCAGCTCTATAGAAACAGAAAATGGATTAATGGTTGCAGGGGACAAATGTTTTTGGAGGATGGGAAGTAGCCAGTCTTGGCTATGGGGTTCTTTTTGGGATGATGAAAATGTTCTAAAATTGATTTGGTGATGGTTACATAAGTCTGTGCATATACTAAAAATAATGGAATTCTATACTTTAAAAGGGTGAATTGTATGATGTGAATTATATCTTAATAAAGTAAATTAACAGAAATTGTGAAGGAGAAACAAAAATAAGACAACAGGACTATGAAAAAAAAGTACTGACAGAGGTCAAGAAATAATTTTTTAAATTTTAGAAATTCATGAATGAAGATTAAAAAGTAAGAAACACAGGAGAAAATAGACACAACCAAGGGAGATTAAAGGGCTAAATATAGGGATTGGCAGGCAGGCTCACACCTGTAATTCCTAGAACTTTGAGAGGTCAAAGCAGGCAGATAACTTGAGGCCAGGAGATCAAGACTAGCCTGGTCAAGATGGTGAAATGCTGTCTGTACTAAAAATGCAAAAAATTACCTGGGCATGGTAATGTACGTCTGTAATCCAGCTATTCAGGTGGCTGAGACATTAGAATCACTTGAACCTGGGAGGTGGAAGTTGCAGTGAGCTGAGCTCATACTACTGCACTCCAGCCTGGGTGACAGAGCGAAATCCTATCTCAAAAAAAAAAAAATAAAAAAGTGTTAAATATAGAACCCAACCAAAGAAGATTCATCATAGCAGGAGTCCCTTCAGGAGATTACCAAAACAACTGAACAGAAAATACTATGAACCTAGAAAATCTGAGACAGGTCTCAGCTAATTTAGAAAGTTTATTTTGTCAAGGTTGAGGACATGCCGGTAACATAGCCTCAGGAAGTCCTGACAGCATGTGCCCAAGGTGGTTGGGGCACAGCTTGGTTTTATACATTTAGGGGAGACATGAGACAACAATCAATATATGTAAGAAGTACATTAGCTCCATCCAGAAGGGTGGAGACAACTGGAAGCAAGGCCCCCACCCCCAGCCTCCCTGGGGCTTCCAGGTCACAGGTAGGTGAGAGACAGATGGTTCATTCTTTTGAGTTTCTGATAAGTCTTTCCAAAGGAGGCAGTCAAAATATACATCTGTCTCTGTGAGTAGAGAGATGACCTTGAATAGAATGGAAGGCTGATTTGCCTTGAGCCGTTCCCAGCTTGAAGGCCCAAGGTATTTTCCTTTTGCATTTCCCCCCTTTTCTTTTTTAACTTTTTGGAGAAGGCATTTTACAAGAAAATGAGTTTCTGGTCTCAGGTTCCATCTGATATCTCATGGCTAGGATGGTTTATTCCTAGACAGGTAGGTCCCAAAAGCTCATTTTTAGCAGGTTATGAAGTCTCATGTCCTATTAAGGGAAAATAGGGGGAGGAAGGGAGAAAAACAACAACATACAAAAGAACAATCCTGGGAAAATCAATACAGGCCACATTACTCTGAAGTCCATGCATCCATAGTATGAAAGTGGCTTATGTATGTAAATAGATTCCTGTTGTTTTCTTATAAAATTTAAGTTGCCTGACTTCAGTTGGCAGGGTTTTAAGAAAGCACAGCTTAGTTTTCAGAGACTCCAAATTAGGAAAAATGGGGGAATAAAAAGAAGGAAAAAAATTGAAAACCTTATTTTGAAGATTTGTAGCCAAGAAAAATTAGAATTGTTTGGGAAAACTCTGCCCCTACCGCGAAAGCTCTCTCTCTCTCTCTTTCCCTCCCCCACAAAGAGGCTCCCTTATCTCTCACTTTACATACCGGCCCTAGCCCTCCCGCCGCCCAGCTTCCCGCCACCCAGCAGTTCAAACTGACCAACAGTTGCCCACCACCTCGGCTTTTGGCTTCCCCACCCCCCAGCCCTTCAGCCCCCTATAAAACAACCCTGCCCCTCTGAGCGGCGTGGCCATTCTCCTCTTCCTCCCGGCTGGTCCGCCCGGAGGCTCTTTCCTCTCAATAAAGCCTGAACTTAAGGAATTTCCTCTAGCCTGCGGTCCGGTTTTTTCCGAACGAGCTCAGTATTCCAGCAGAGGGTAGGTCGGACAAGTGGTGCCGAAACCCGGGACGGGAGGGGCCGTTGGCCCAGCCACGGCCCCCCTCCCCAACCTACCCAACACTGGCCCTGCCACCACGCTCCGATTAAGGTAAGCCAAGTTTTTTCTTGCTTTGCCTTCCCCCGCTTCCTGTCTCCTCTTCCTACGGCACGGTGCAGTTGCTCCCTCTCCGGCGTTCCACACGGACTCCTTGCCTAGTCTCGGCCAAGCCAAGGTAGTCTTCCGTTCCCACGAGCCTTCCGAGGGACAGCCGCCAGACGGGGGACGCCCCTCTGACCGCTTCCCTTTCCGTACTTAATTGTACTCCGGGGAATTTGCAATGAACGGGGACGCCTTTTCGTTGCATCTGCCCATCCGCGCCGGAGAGTCTGTAGCTGCGCCTGCCATGGGAAATTCGGAGTCCAAAATACCTCTGAGCACCCCCCTTGGGTGCTTGCTGCAAAATTTTACCAAATTGGGATATTCCCAAACCCTCAGAAAGAAAAAGCTTATTTTCCTGTCCCAGGTGGCTTGGCCCCAATACAAACTCGGTAACCAGTCACATTGGCCCCCGACTGGCACTTTTGATTTCAACACCCTCCGAGATCTCGACGATTTTTGTCGCCGCGCAGGCAAAGACAATGAAATTCCTTACGTCCAGGCTTTTTGGGACCTCCGCACCCACCCCGACCTATGTTCTTCCCGCTCCACCTACCAAATCCTCTTAGCTCGAACCCCTCGTAAATCTTCCTCCACTACCTCTCCCTCTCCCTACTCCTCACCGGAGGATCTGCCTGAACATCTGTCCTCTCCTGCCAATCTCAGCAACCAGTCGCCATCAGCGGCACGCCCTTCCCCCACTCCCTCTGCACCTCCTACCTCAGAGGCCATGCCTCACTCTCCCTCTACTCCCTCCGAGCCCCCTCCCTCAGAGGCTGCACTTCCTCTTGCCTCTCCGGTGGCGGCCCACACCCGCTCCCACCAGCCAGCTATCCTGGCCCCACTCCGAGAAGTAGCAGGCGCAGAAGGTTTAATCAGGGTCCATGTTCCTTTCTCACTCCAAGACCTGTCCCAAATTGAGAGACGTTTAGGATCCTTCTCAGCCGACCCGTCCACCTATATTAAGGAATTCCAATACCTCACTCAAGCCTACAGCCTCACTTGGCATGATATTCGCGTTATCTGTTCCTCCACCCTCACAGTGGAAGAGCACGAGCGCATCCTAGTGGCAGCCAGAAACCAAGCAGATAAAGACCATGCTATAGATAACCAGATCCCCCTAGGCCCCGAAGCAATCCCAGGTGAAGACCCCCAATGGGACTATCAGGCTAATCGAGGGTCTGATATACCCAAGAGGGACCACATGATTAGATACCTCCTCAGGGGAATGGATGCTGTATCTAACAAAGTTGTAAACTATGATAAACTGAGAGAAATCACCCAACTACCTGATGAGAACCCCACCCTCTTTCTCGCCCGCTTGCAAGAAGCCCTAGTCCGGTATACTCGATTAGACCCAGCCTCCCAAAACAGGGCCACTGTATTAGCCTCCCATTTTATCTCCCAATCAGCACCCGACATAAGAAAGAAACTAAAGAAAGCAGAAGAGGGGCCAGAGACTCCCATCCAAGACCTGGTAAAAATGGCCTTTAAAGTATTCAATGCCAGGGAAGATGCGGCTGAGGCTGCCCGCCAAACTCACATGAAGCAGAAGGCTGCCCTCCAGACCCAAGCCCTAGTGGCGGCTCTAAGGCCAGCAGGGAACCAGAAGCCCAAGGCCGAAACCCATGCCCCTCCAGGGGCATGTTTCAAATGTGGAAAAGAAGGACACTGGTCCCGAGCCTGTCCACAACCACGGCCACCAACTAAGCCTTGCCCTATCTGTCGGCTCCCGGGACACTGGAAGTCAGACTGCCCCAGCTTCCCCAGGGTGCCGGTTCCTCAAAACAGACACACTGGCGTTACGCAGCCGGCGGTCACCCTCAGTAGGGAGGAGCCTGCTTGCCAGGAGCCGACCTCCAAGGGAGCTCCGTTCCCCAGTCTACTAGGGCTGCTAGATGACTAGCGGGGCCCTGGCTTACTGACTCCGGTTACCGTCGCTGAGCCAAGGGTCAAAATTCAGGTAGTGGGTAAAAGTGTCTCGTTCTTGCTCGACATGGGGGCTACCTACTCTGCACTTCCTTCTTATTCTGGCCCAGGTCTCGGTCATGGGAATCGACGGGACCCCGAGTATCCCCTACCAAACCCCACCACTCATGTGCTCATGTAACTCCACTCCATTCACCCACTCCTTTTTAGTAATCCCCACCTGCCCAGTTCCCCTTCTGGGGCGAGACATCCTTTCAAAGCTGAAGGCCGTCATAACCTTCCCCTCCGCCAACCCACACAGTCTCTTTCTCCTAGCCTTCACCTCAGACACTGAACTCCAAAAAGCCCTGTCAGAACTACTCCCTGGAGTCCACCCTCAGGTCTGGGACATTAACAACCCGTCTGTAGCTACCCACCACCAGCCAGTTCAGGTCTGCCTTAAAGACTCCTCGCCTCATTTTCTCCGCCACCCTCAATTTCCCACCTCTAAAGCCCACCGTATGGGTATCAGATCCATCATAGAGAAACTAAAAGGTCAAGGCCTCCTAATTCCTATTAACTCCCCATGTAATACCCCCATCCTCCCAGTACGAAAACCATCAGGACAATATAGGCTAGTCCAGGACTTGGGCTTAGTTAATGAAGCTGTAATTCCCATACATCCAGTTGTCCCCAACCCATACACCATTCTCTCTAACATTCCCCCAGGGACCACCTGTTTCTCAGTCCTAGACCTAAAGGATGCCTTCTTCACTATACCTCTACACCCTAATTCCTACTTTATCTTTGCCTTCACTTGGGATGATCCCCTCACGAACATGTCCCAACAACTGGCCTGGACAGTCCTTCCACAGGGCTTCCGAGATAGCCCGCACCTATTCGGCCAGGCACTCGCCACTGACCTACTCCACTGCAACCTCAAGCCCTCTCACCTCCTCCAATACGTAGATGACCTTCTTATCTGCTCCCCCGCCCGCCAGGAGTGCATCCAGGCCACCACCGCCCTACTCAATTTCCTAGGAGATAAGGGATACCAGGTGTCACCAACCAAAGCACAAATAGCCTCACCCACCGTCACCTACCTAGACATACAGCTCACACCTGGGCGACGGTCCATCACAATCGACCGACTACAAGCCTTAAAGGCGGTCCAGGCCCCTGAGTCAGCGAAAGAAATCCTCTCCTTCCTAGGACTAGTAGGGTTTTTTCGCCACTGGGTACCTAATTATGCTTTGCTAGCAAAACCTCTATACCATGCTGCTGCAGAAGCCCCCGAGGGACCACTCTCTTCACCAGGTTCTGTCAACCGGGCATTCAAGTCACTGCTTAATGCCCTTTGCACCTCCACCAGCCTAGCCCTGCCCAATCCCAACTTACCCTTCCAACTATATACAGACGAGAAACAACATACAGCTGTAGGAGTGCTAGTCCAACCAGTAGGAAAGACCCTTCTGCCTATAGCCTACCTGTCTAGACAACTTGACCCAACTGAGCGAGGATGGCAGCCATGTCTTAGAGCCCTAGTTGCCGCCACCACCCTAACCACAGAAGCTCTTGAGATCAATCTACAACTCCCACTCCAAGTCTTTTCTCCACACAGGTTGACTGAACTGCTCAGTCAACACTCTCTGCCCCACCTCGGGCCCTCCCGTATTCAACTGCTTCACCTACTGTTTATTGAGAACCCCAACATCACTCTTTCTCACTGCTCCTCATTAAACCCAGCTACACTCCTCCCTTGCCCTCCGTACTCCAGCCCCCTACATTCCTGTACTGAAATCCTCAAATTAGCCCAGTCTCCTCATCCCGACTTGCTACCTCAACCCCTACCATCTGCCTCCATTACCCTATTCGTTGATGGCAGCTCTATACCTCATCCCACCGGCCCACGGAGAGTGGCCTATGCTGTAGTAACTCACTCTGAAATCATAGAGACCCGCCCCCTTCCTCTTGGGACCACTTCACAACAGGCTGAATTAGTCGCCCTCACTCGGGCCCTATCCTGGTCCCAGAACAAAGAAGTAAATATATATACTGACACCAAGTATGCCTTCCTCATAGCTCACTCGCACTGCATGATCTGGAAGGAACGAGGCTTCCTCACCACTAAAGGCATGCCCGTTCTCAATGGAAAACTCATTGCTGCCCTTATTCAAGCCGTTCAACTCCCTAGCAAGGTAGCCATCGTCCACTGTAAAGGGCATCAGTCCCTGAACTCACCCATAGCCGCAGGGAATGCCTTTGCAGACAGGGTAGCTAAAGACACGGCAAGAAACCATCCACCACCCACCTCCACTCTCTGTTTCTTGTCCAAATCATATAGCCCTCAATACTCTACCTCAGAACTCCAGGCCCTCCAGTCTACCCCCGGGGTACGGTTCAAAGATGACTGGGCCTTCAAGCATAACCTCCTCATCCTCCCCGAAAAGCAAAAGTACCAGATAATCCAAGACATCCACAATTCACTCCACATTGGGCCTAAAGCCTTATACCGATTCCTCAACCCACTTTTTCACCCTCACCATCTCCTCAGTACCATACAGGAAGTCCAGTCCTCATGTACTGTCTGCGTGAAAACTAATTCCCAGGGTTCCTGTCATCCCTGGCGCCAGCTTCATCAGCTATGCGGGTTCCTACCTGGCCAAGACTGGCAAATTGATTTCACCCATATGCCAAAGCACAAACAGTACCGGTATCTGCTAACCATTGTTGACACTTTTTCAGGCTGGATTGAAGCTTACCCCACAGCCTCTGAGTCTGCCGGGACAGTAGCCACTCATCTCATTCAAGACATCATCCCACGCTTTGGACTCCCAGCCACCATACAGTCAGACAACGGCCCAGCCTTTATCTCCAAAGTCACTAATGCTGTTTCTACCTCTCTAGGAATTCAGTGGAAGCTACACGCCGCCTACCATCCTCAGTCCTCTGGTAAGGTGGAACGGGCCAATGGCCTAATAAAGGAGCATCTGACTAAGCTCATGCTTGAGCTCCACCAATCCTGGGTAACCTTGCTTCCTATTGCCCTCACCAGGTTGACAGCAAGCCCCCGGGGCCCGTCACAGCTTAGCCCGTTTGAGCTGCTGTATGGTCGCCCCTTCCTACTTTCAACTCCCCCACCGCCAGAGACCACTCCTCTAGATAGCTACCTCCCCTACTTTACTCTCCTTTGCAGCCTTCTCCGAGAACACGCCAACGCTTCTCTTCCCCCAGCCATCTGAAAATACACAGAAAGTCTCCCCCGGAGACTCCTTATCAGGTCCCTCTCCCCAAAGCCCCTCGCCCCCAAGTGGGAAGGACCATACACAGTCCTCCTTACCACTCCATCAGCTATAAGAATTGCTGAAATCCCATCTTGGGTCCACCTGTCTCGGGTAAAAAAGGCCCCTCATGGACCCTCCCTATGCTGGAAGGCTGTTCCTACTGGCCCTTTATCTGTCAAACTTACCAGGGCCTAGCAGCCACACCCCGTAGAGATGGAGATTCTTCCTAACTGAAAACTATACCAAAACCACCTTCATCTGTAATACCCCCCAATACAGCCACAACCATCTTCTTGCAACTTCCGACTGCCCCGCAGCCGGATGCCAAAGTGCCATATATCTGAACTTCACCAAATTCCGCAACGTCCATACTGATATACCTCTCATGTGCTTCAACCATGACCAACCATCAGGAGCATGCAATAATACTCCTTGGCGCTCCTGCATGGGATGTACTTGGATGAACTGTCGACTACATATAGCTATCGAGTCCACAGTACCTGCCCGATCTCAGCTCAAAATCATCCCAGACATAGATGGAGAAGGAAACACCATTATCGGTTCTACACAGTATTCCCTTCTCATACCTGACCCCTGGGACAACCGGTGGAAAAGCCCCCAGAAAGCTGCCGTGTATCACCACATAGATACCAAATATCCCTCTTCCCACCTGTACATCTGGCGGACATACGTACGTACAGTCCACCAAGTCCACTCTGATATTAGCCTACAAGAAAAATCTCTGAATGACCAATTACAACCACATTCGTCTCCGTTTTCCTGGTTAACTTTTCTCCAAGAAGGAATCAAGTTAGCTAACCTCTCAGGACTAACTGACCTAACCTCATGCCTCATGTGTGCCTTCTTAGGACAGACTCCCTTCATTGCAGTCCCCTACCCCATCCCTCTCAACCTTTCAGCCTCAACTTCTTCCTTCTCCCCCATCAAGGAAGTTGATCTCTACACTCCACCTGATTTTGAACAGCTACCTGTGTGCTATTTCCTAGGCCGAAACTTCCCTAGCTGTAACAGAACTATACTGGTAACCACTAATATAACAGCCCCACGAGGAACGTTTTTCTGGTGTAACAAGACCTTAACAAAAACTCTCTACATTGGTCTTTCCTCATCTCTTTTATGCCTCCCAGTAACCCTAGTCCCTCGACTCACTATATATTCCCCAGCCGAATTCCAGATGCTGCAAACTCCCCATCGCCGCACCCGACGAGCTGCCTTCCTACCCATTGCCGTTGGAGTCTCCCTTGCTGGTTCAGCACTTGCAGCAGGATTAGGGGGAGGGGCACTAGTCCACTCTCACCTGGCCATAGCCCGACTGACCTCACAACTCCAAGCGGCTATCGATGACTCTACTGAGTCTTTAGCATCACTCCAACGACAGATCACCTCAGTTGCCCAAGTTGCCTTGCAGAACCGAAGAGCCCTAGACCTGCTCACTGCTGAACGAGGAGTGACCTGTATCTTCCTACAGGAAGAGTGCTGTTACTACATCAATGAATCCAGCCTAGTAGAAACCCGAATCGAGAGCCTCCAGAAACTCAAAACTAACCTGTAGAGTCAGAAGTTCTCGGCTGAAGCCACAGCGTGGTGGTCTTCCTCTATGTATACCCTCTTGTCCCCGCTGCTTGGGCCCCTAGTAGCTGTTTGCCTAATCTTACTTATTGCTCCTTGCTTTCTACAGTTCCTACAGCGGCGCTTTCAAGAACTGACTCGAGTCACCATCCACCAGATGCTGCTCCAACCCTACCCTGAACGAGTGCAAGAAATAGACCTCTCCCCGAACATCCAGGCTCCTTAAGAAAAGAGACCTCTTCAGAACCCCCCGTCGACCCTTGTCAGCAGGAAGTAGCTAGAAAGACAACCGACGCCCCTGACCCCCTCTTTTTCTTTTCTTTAAGGAGTCGGGAATGTTTGGAAAACTCTGCCCCTACCGTGAAAGATCTCTCTCTCTCTCTCTCTTTCCCTCCCCCACAAAGAGGCTCCCTTATCTCTCACTTTACATACAGGCCCTAGCCCTCCCGCCGCCCAGCTTCCCGCCGCCCAGCAGTTCAAACTGACCAACAGTTGCCCACCACCTCGGCTTTTGGCTTCCCCACCCCCCAGCCCTTCAGCCCCCTATAAAACAACCCTGCCCCTCTGAGCGGCGCGGCCATTCTCCTCTTCCTCCCGGCTGGTCCGCCCGGAGGCTCTTTCCTCTCAATAAAGCCTGAACTTAAGGAATTTCCTCTAGCCTGCGGTCCGGTTTTTTCCGAACGAGCTCAGTATTCCAGCAGAGGGTAGATCGGACAAGAATTAAGTTCAAACTCTGAAAAATAATAAAAATGGAAAAAAGCATTAGGCAAGACTAGAATCTAATAACAGGTATACTATGGTTTTGAAACATAATTTTTTTTCTCACTCCAGTTTCCCATTTTTACTAAAGACAAGTCATGGTACGACTGGTTTGCTTTATTATACTTGGCCTAATTATTTGTATACAATGCAGAAAGAATAATTATTTTTTACATAGGCTTTTAAATTGGCTTTGATGGAACTTTGTTCCATAGGAGGAATCTCAGATAAGACTTTTTTAAAGCCAAGCCTAGGCATGGATTTGTGCCATCAAATACCTATGAGTTGGGTAAATTTTCCCTCCTCTTGAGGTTCCAAGTTAAAGCTAGAGCTTCTGCGCCTGTCAGAAAGTAACATTCTTTACTTACACAGGTCAGAAACCCTGTACAGAGACTGTATACAAAAAATATGAGGCCAATGTTTTCAAGGGCTTTATTGATTCCATAAGTCAAGTGTGATTCCTTAAAGGAAAGCACCATTCCAGTCAAAGACTTGGTAAAAATAACCAATTTCTCCAATTGCGTCCTGTTACAAATGAAAACAGATTCTTTCTTTTAATTTGTGTGGTTTTTGGTTTATTTATTTGTCGGAGACAGGGTCTCATGCTGTCACCCAGGCTGGAGTGCAGTAGCGTAATCACGGCTCACTGTAGCTTTGACCTCCTGGGCTCCACTGATCATCACTCCTCAGGAGGACATCAGCACTCCAGACAGATATCAGGCCCCAGGTGGACACTGGACTTGTGGTGTACACCAGGCCCCAGATGGACACCAAGGCACTAGGTGGACAGAAGGCCCATGTTGAACACCAGACTCATGTGGACATCAGGCTGCAGGGAGACACCATCCCTTAGGTAGATATGTAGGGTCCAGGTAGAATTAGACCCAAGGTACACACCTGGTCCCCAGATGATCACCAGGACCAGGTGAAGACTCAGGGGACTTAGGTACACATCCAGCCTTAAGTGGACACCCAGGCCCCAGGCTGATACCTAGGTCCCAGGTGATCACCAGAACCCAGGTGGACACCGGGCCTCAGGTGACCAAGACCCAGTAGACCCTCAGGCCCCAGCTGGATATCGTGAACACAAGGCCCAAGGGAGACATAGGCCCAAGGCAGACATCAGGCCCTAGGTGGAAATCAGACCTCAGGAGGACATCTGGCCTCTGGTGAACATCAGGCGTAGATGTCCAAGCACAGCCTGGGTGAACATAACTGTGTACAGGCAAGGAGTTGACCTGGGGGTGAGAGTGAGCAGTCAGCAGCCCACTGGAGTCCTGAGTAGGCCTTATGGAAGGAAGGGGCCTACGGGACGGAACCCTAAAGAAGTGACCTCACTTCCTTGAGGACAGACCTGAACAGAATTCAGAACTCTGGTAACCAGGCACCCATCTCCTAGAGTCAGCCCCTTAGCCAGATCACTTGGTAGGAGACACTCAAGAGAGCAAGATGTTCTCATGCTGCATCCCCACGAATCGAGGCTCCTGCTTCAAAAATGGTGGGAGTGAGAGCCTTTTCCGTCGCTGCCGACAAAGGCTCATCCCTCACCCCAGGCGCCTGTGGCCTTTTGGACACAGGTGCACCCAGGTGCCACAGGGTAGCCCAGGGCAGACCCTTGCAAACCAGGTCTCACTAGATAGCATATCGGATCCGTATCTGCATATTGTCCTTGTCCAGCAGGCAATTCTGAAGCACATGGAGGCACAGGCACATGGTGAGGTGGCCTGCAGTCTGGAAGACTTTGTGGGGGCGGTATTTTGGGGTCGGAATTCCTTTCAATTCAGTGAAATTTTTTCCACATTGGTGACCCTTTCACCTTTTCAGCTCCTGAGAACTTAAAATACAAGAACTTCCAGCACCAGCAGTCCAGCCAGAGCCAACTGTATCAGAGGAGCCCCCTACAGAGACATCGCAGGAGCTAGAGCAGCTCCACAGCCCTCCTGCCCCTCTGTTGGGGCAGCCAAGGACCATCCCAGGAGGAGCTGCCTGACAGCCTGCCACCTGCTGCCACCACTGGCCTCAGAGAGGGGGTGGCCAGCACGGCCCCAGCCAGCAGCTCCAACACTGCCCCTAGTCCTGGGTACACTGGGAGCCATGGAGGCAGAAACCAAGGTATGCAGCCTGGGCTCCTCTCCCTCGCTGGAGAGAGGCTTCTCTCATTCATAAGAGCCACAGCCCTGCTGCTGCTGCAGGAACGCTTCTTCTGCTGGTGCTGGTGGTATCGATCTGCATGGATGAGGTGCCTGAGATCAGGAAAAGAAGCCTTCGAGGAAGGGTTCCAGCAGCTCCTCCCGCGCCCAGAGGCGGCCTCCTCCTCCAGGCCTGGAGGTCTCTCCACAAGTGGGCATCTGGGCTGTTTGCCCCTGAAATCCTGCCCAGGATGGCCTCTTCTTAACAGATGGGCAGGGGGTGAGGGGACCAGGGGTGGGTCCAACAGGTACAGAAACCAAACCTTCCCAACTCTTGTGTCCTGGGCTCTCCATGTTGCCACCTGCCCTGGGTTTTCTTCATAGCTCTAAAATTAGTAGTTTATGAAATAAACTTTTAAATAAAGTTTGGCTTTTGGAAACTTCACATCTTTTTAAAAATTCTCTAATGTTAAATTATTTTTTTGAGGCTATCCTGAAAATCTCTGATAGTTGTGTCTTTTTGCTGTGGTTGTGAGAATTACCATCAAATCAGCTGCTACTGGAACCCTTTCAGGTATAGCTTTTAGAAGATCCTGACTTACTTTTGCCTGTTTTGACTCTCTGGTTTATTGTGGAGAGAGGAATGATGTAGTTTCATTTATCCGGCAGATCAATCATGTTTGCCATTAAGAACCTGGCATTGGCTGGGAGCGGTGGCTCACGCCTGTAATCATAGCACTTTGGGAGGCCGAGGTGGGCGGATCAGCTGAGGTCAGGAGTTCAAGGCCAGCCTGGCCAACATAGTGAAACCCCATCTCTACTAAAAATACAAAAATTAGCCAGGCGTGGTGGGGGATGCCTGTAATTCTAGTTACTTAGAATTACATAGGAGGCTGAGGCAGGAGAATAGCTTGAACCCGGAAGGCAGAGGTTGCAGTGAGCCGAGATGATGCCATTGCACTCCAGTCCAGGTGACAAGAACAAGACTCCATCATCTCATCTAGGGCATAGGGCAAGAGGCCGTGCTCGTAAAGGATGAAGAACCATTGCTGCCATTTCCGAGACCGGTGCACTGGGTTGTCAAAGTCGGTCTTATCTGGAGCCAGGAGCAGCCAACCGCCATAAATGGGTTTTGCCTGCATCAGGTCCTCATCATTGAGCAGATGTGACTCACGGGGCTTGAAGCAGTTCTGACACTTGCTCTTGTTGAAGATGTTGGCCTGGAATTTCCTGCACCGGTTCTCCTTGGCTGCCGACATGGTCGGCGTGGCAGTGGCGGCGGCGCAGGCCCAGCCGGCCTGGCTCCTGGCGGGCTCGGGGCTCAGCGTGGCCGCTGCCGCATCCCTCGTTGGCCCCGCCACAAGTCCGGACGGCCTCCTACCCTGCTGGCGGCTCACTGCATGCGCAGAGGCTCCACAGCATGGCGTGACACCCCACGCGGGGACGCATAGCCACCACCCGGCAGCCGTGGGCCCATGGAGGCCTCCGCGGGCCCACTGCCTCCTGCTGTGGCCTGCCTCTCAGGTGCTGGTCGCCGCCAGCCCGGCTAGTCTGCGCTGCCGCCGCTGCCCTCGGTGCCCCGCAGCAGCTACAACTCGAAAACAGATTCTTATTGCACTTATGCAAATAACTGTATTGTCATAAGTTAAGACTAGTCACAAATCATTTCCAAATTCTGGAGAATTCAGGTAGAGAGAAATAAATCTGCTACAAATTTTGTTAATAGGAGTATACAAAAAAATTTAAAGCTGTCACTAGCTCAAAATAAAAGTTTTAAGATCTGAAAAACCAAACAAAGGATTAGCAACCGTTTTAAGCAAAAGTTAAAAAGATTGGTTTAGTCCACGCAGTTAATTCCTGTTCTGCTTGATAATCATGGACATTTTAGCTCTCCATGAGTCCTGAAAGTTTTTCCTCTATTCTGATGTCACAATCTCCAAAGTTATCAGAAACCTGCATTTAAAGCACCTGTTGGAGTTTTATAGCTGATTATTAAGCCACCTTCTAAAGAGGACCAAAACAAGACAAAAACTGTCCATAGATGGAAAAAAAAGGTTTAAGGCAGCCATAGTCAAAAGACACAATTCACACTCTGTGGCACACAATAATTTTAACATAACAATTATGATTATTAGTGATAATACACACTAAGTTATATCAGAATTACAGGAGTTTCCCACAATTTTGAAATACATACCAATTTATACAAATATGTTGTATAAATACATACAACATATTTATACAAATACAGCCCAAATAAAACCAAATATCATTTTATATTTGACAATGATCCCTGTATAATTTTTATACTAAAGAAGCCAAATTATGTCATTTTTAGACTTTAGAAACCTAATATCTTAAAGGACTAATTGGATTAGAAAAATGTATAATTTATAATTTGATTTTGGAAAATTTGTCAAATATAAAAGGTTTAAAACACTTGATATTACAGAATAGGATTACAGGTCATTGTAAAGTCATTTATTTAACTAAAGTGATAATTCAAGTATTTCAAAAAAAAAAAGCAAAAACTTTTAGTCTTTGAGAGAGGAGACTTACCTAATTAAAAACAGCATGAAGCCAATTACATTTGTTTTATGAAACTTTGTAAACAATTTATAAAATTTAATCTTATTGTAAAATATAATTTCCATAAGCCTTTTATAACCTTTATTAAAGAGTTGTTTAATGCTTCAAGAAAACCTTGTTAACCTGATACAGGAAACCATATGCTGGTTTTGCATTTGTGTGCCTCTGAAATTAATGATTAATTTATAGAGAAAATGAACTTATTTTATCTTTCAAAATTGGCCCTTACAATCTTATATACCCACTTCTTCCACAATAGTCCCTGAGCCTTGAAAAGTTGAATAGCTTTAATTTCTGGCCCTGTGTCTTAGGAATGCAGTTTATTTTTATTGGCATCTTCTACAGCGTTTGAAGATGAGGCTTTAATTGCTGTCAGTGTTTACGATTTAGCAGAACTTGGTGTTCTTTTCAGACCCAGGAGTTAAAACCCTGTAATTCAATGTCACAAGGACTTTCAAAGCACATACAGGAAGATACCTGGATATAATAACCTATTAAAAGAATGTTTATCTCAATTTTTTTTTTGGTAAGCAAACCAAAACTTAACAATAATATGACTTGATTATATAAAAGGTTTTGGGTTTTTAAAATATCTAAATCTTCTTGTTGTTACTTACACCAACTGTTATGACATGCTTGGACTTTCTGGTTTATCCTGAACATTCCTCCTTTTTAAACAACCAGTTATTTTATTTTAGGACTAAATTTACCATACAAGATTCTTTCCTGTATAAAATTATTTTTCTTTAAGATTTTTACCTCAAAACAAAATTTTTATAACTTTCTTTACATCTCTTTTTTTAGACAGAGTCTCACTCTGTCTCCTAGGCTGGAGTGCTGTAGTGCAATCTTAGCTCACTGCCACCTCTGCCTCCCAGGTTCAAGCAATTTTCCTGCCTCAGCCTCCTGAGTAACCGGGATTACAGGCTAGTAACACCACACCTGGCCAATGTTTGTATTTTAGTAGAGACAGAATTTCACCATGTTGGCCAGGCTGGTCTCAAACTCCTGACCTCAGATGATCTGCCCACCTTGGCCTCCCAAAGTGCTGGGATTACAAGCATGAGCCACTGTGCCCAGTCTTTACATCTTTTTTTTTTATTCCTGGTTGCTTTTACCTTGTTTTATACATAGCCTTTACATAAGCTTTGAATTAGACAAACTTGTTCAACTTTTTTCTTTTTTAAAAAAAGGACACCCCTCTTTTTTTTTTTAGCAAAAATGTTTTTCTATATTTATTGCAAAATATCCAAATAATGAAGTATCTATTATTTAACTTTATATTCTAAATTATGACCAGTTTGTCTACAAGTATTTATCCCATTACATTTACCTACTTATTTTAATTGTTTACCTAGATTATTTACAAAAATTGTGATTGTCATAATTTAAGTTATTAAATTGCCATTGCAAAATTATAACTGAGACAGTGAAAAAAGATTTGACCTGTGTTTTAAGAGTATTACCTAATTCTTGGGAAAGAGACAAGGAAAGGAGTTACTTCTCAACATGAAAACAAAGACCACAAGGTAGTTCTAATAATGACCTCAGCCTAACTTGTTCAGTCATATCCACCACAACAAAATAATATCCCACCTCTGGTCAGTCTAGAGGTCCAGTCAACACACTGCAAAGCCAAGCTGTTGTAGGATCCTGGAAGTGGCTGTTGGGAAACTTCTTTTCTTACATACCTCACTGCCTACCTCATTGTGCCAGTTGACGCAGGTGTTGAGTCTTTATATGATTGTTAAGATTGGAGAACACACCTGTCTTCTTGGTTGTTTTCTACTTGCTCTGTTCAGCTTCTAGGTAAGAGCTGCCTCCTTCTCTGAGTATGTTAAATAACTTCTCTACCTTATTAAATAAAAACTCTGAATTCCTCTAGGCAAGACACGATTTTGAGACTGTGATCAAAGAGAGGCTGGGGCATAGCACTGGGAGGTGATGGTCTGAGCTAGGGCTGTTCCAGAGAAGATGGGAGAAAGCAAGGAAAGTTGTAGGGGATATTTGGAAATAGGATATAGTGACTGATTGGGTGGGGATGCTCAAATGTTGTGATAGCAAGAAATGAGGGAGTGGCTGAAAATAACTCACTTGAGTAGGTCTCTTTAATGAAACTAGGCATCCAAGGATAGAACTGAGTAGTAGGGTCAGCAGAGAAGACAGTGAATTCAGATGGAGATAGACTAAGTGGAATTAAGAATCAAATATATACAGTCATCCCTCAGTATCCATGGGGGATTG